ATATTTGAAAAAACCAGACTGCCCAAGAAACATTAACAACAGGTGCAGTTTGCTAAACTCTCCGCCACTAAATGCACTTTCTTAGCGAAAACTGATCATCTCATCTATGGAGCTACAGCTCTGCCTGGCTTTAATGACATGAGTACAGATTTCTACTGATATAGTGGGGACATGGCTTTTCCTTTGTGAGGGATTTCTGTTATTGTGTAATATTTAAGGTGCATGAAAATATATTTAAGATAATGTAACAACTATTCATGGAGCCACCATCTAACTTCTGCGACTTGCTTTTTGTTGCTCAGCATTCCATTTGAGAAATTTATCCACATGGATTTTCTGGCTCCAGCTTACTGAATTTTCACTACTTTATTTAATAGTATATTTTTCTGTGATCAACAATGCTTTTTGTGTGTGTATAAATATATTTATATGGCTACATTTACACGTGCATGTATTCATGTGTATATATATCCTTGCTTATGTGGTCAAGAATTTCTCTAGAATATGTACCTATAATGGAAATTCAGGAAGGCATATATTTAATTTTACTAATATTTCCAAATTTGCCCCCAACATGATTATGCTAATTTACCTTCTACCAGAAATATATGATTCCACATCTTCACCAAAACTTTGCATTTTAAACTGAAGAATATAAAATTATTTTTCAATGCAGCATTAATATATAATTATCAAATAACTAGTGAGTTGTGTTTACTTTCACATTTCTATTGACCATTTAGGTTTTCTTTTCTATAATATCCTGATTATATATTTTGTAAATTTTTCCCTTGGGATAATTTATAGAAATTCTTTACATATACTGGATGCTAATTACCTGACATTTATATATGTTGCAAAAAAAAATTACTTAAGTAAATTTCTAGTCAGTATTTAGCCTCTTCTCTTTTACAATGTTGGTATTTTTAATTTAAAAATAGGTTGGATTTTCAATGTTTTATTTTTTGTGCATTCATGTCCTATTTAAGTATTTTTCTGTATATCTAAGTCATGGGTATTTTGTTATGTTTTACTCTCAAAGCTTTACAATTCAAATCTTTAATCCATTTGGAAATTATTTTCATAAAATGTAAAGTAGGAATACAAGATTATTTTTCATGTGTATAAACATTTATAGCACCAATGTATTGGACCATTTTTCACTGACATACATGCTCCTGGCTTCATACATCAAGCTTCCAGAGGCCCATGGGCCTGTCTTTTATTTCTTTTTATGGATTCCATTGATCCATTTGTCCATCCTCACACCATTCCATACGATAATGTCTTTACTACTATCACTTTTTAAGAAGTTCTGATTCTGATAGAGTAAGTTCTCATCTTGTTCTCCTTTAAAATTGTCTTTGCTATTTTTAGATATTTTCTCTCCCACATAAATTTTAGAATAAGTTTGTCAAGATGTATGTAAAATTCTTCCAAATTTGCTTAGAATTACATTGAATTTGTAGATTAATATGGGGGGGGGTGTAATGTTTATAATATTGAGTTCCTCTCCATGATCCTGGTCTGTTTTAAGCCTTTAAATAAAGTTGTATTATCTCAGTAAGGGTCATGAACATTCTTTCTTAGATTTATGCCTAGATACTTTATTTTTGATGTTATTATAAAATAAATTTTTTAATAACACTTTTGATTTCTGGTGAACAGAAATGCAATTGATTTGTTTATATTAAACTATTATTAAATAACTTTACTAGGCTCACTAAGAATTTATCTGCCAATTATCTAGGATTTTTTATAGAGACAATTACATTATCTAAAGCTAATAATAGTTGTGGTTTTTCCTCATAATCATTTTACCTTTCATGTCTTCTTCATTTTGTTCTGGCTTCTGAAAAAATACTGAACAGATTCAGTCATAACAAGCATCCTTGCCTTATTTTTTATAGGCACTGTGTCTCATGATTTAATAGTAATTATGTTTAGTCCAGCAATGTGGAAAGTAACTTTTACCAGGTTATAACAGTCTCTACCTGTTTTCATTTTTGTTCTATTGAATCATGAAAAATTATTGAATTTTACCAAACAATTGTTCTGTATCTATTGAGAAGATCATATGGCTTTTTAAAGAATATATCGATATGGCAAATTATATCAATAAAATTTCCAATGTTAAAAAATGCTTTCATTCCTGGGATAAATACAAATAGGTCTTGATTACTGATGGTAAGTACCTTTTAGCTGCTTCTGATGTTTCTTTCCTGCAAGAAAACTCAGTCTGTATAATCGCAGACTCTCTATCCCCATCTTATCCACTAAGTTCCTAAAAAGATGGCATGACAAGTCTGATTAGTAAAACTGAGAACAATCTGGCATGTTTTGCCCTGCCTTAATTCTTAGCAGCAGTCAACCTACTAAAGCCCATGCTCCCCTGAACTCCCAGAGGCACTTTCCCACCATGTGCAAGAGGCATGTTCCTATCACTGTCATTAAGACTGGGTGGGAAAAATATCAACTTATGGTGTTCATTGGCAGCAAATAATTTGACTAATAAACTTACAATTTGGGGCATGCCTGGCTGGATCAGTTGGGGGAATATGCAACTGTTGATCTTGGGGTTGTGGGTATGAGCCCCATGTTGGATGTAGAGATTACTTAAAAATAAAATCTTTTCAAAAATAAATAAATAAATAAACCTAAAATTTTCCCCCAGGTGTCCAAAGGTGATATTATGGTCCCCATACAGACATTATCTTTTATTTATCAACTTGTTCAAATCCAAAAAGGAAGAGAATAGATATTTACGAGAGCCTCTTTGATATCCTAGAAACTGTTTGTTTAATACATGAATGGATTTGGTCAATGAATGTGTATTTAAGTTGTTTGCATCTAAATTCACAAATGAGGTTGGGTCTAATTTTCTTTTCTCATATTTTACTTATTTTGGTTCCAATGCAATATTGACATGAATTGGAAAATGTTCTTTATTGTGATTTTCAGGAAGAGCTTATATAATATTAGAATTCATTGTTCCATAAATGCATGATAGAACTTTCCTATAACACAATGGGGACAAGTGTTTGTTTGAGTAAACTTTAAAATATCAAGCAAAGTCATTTAATGGTTTTAAAATATTTAATATATTTAAATATTTCACACACACACACACACATACACAATCACTCCAACTGTTATCACTACCCATTTAATCTACATTTTTCCTAAAAAGTTTTTTTAAACAAAATAAATTTTCCAAATTATATGTATGGAATAAAACACAGTTCAACAAACATCATGTAGCAGCAAACAAGTATAAAATGGATAGTAAGTTTTATTACTATGTTTGACTTTCCTGGGTAAATGAATCAAGGCAGGAATGGAGTTTATTCCATTTTTTCCCCAAAAGAACAAACAATAGGGGAAAAAATAAGGAATTGTTATTTTAAATGTAGAGATTTCTGGTCTACGGAGAATACTATAGACAAAGATAATAGACAACAGAATGTAAGAAAATTTTTGTCAAGTCAATAACAGAGTGCTCAAACTATATAAAGGAAGAGCATCCATCCATAAATTGACCCACAGAGATATCGATAAAAAATATGATTCCAAAATTCTACAAAAATATACTATACAAAGATCAAATTAGTTTCTGGTTAGAAAATAAAACAAATTAAAATGGAGATGTCACTTTACAAGTATTTTCTGGTATAAAAACTATTAAGAAAATACCAATGTTCCCAAAAAAGTGAGGATATGGGAACCCCCATGAACAATTAGCAGGAATGCACACTGATGCCTCCATTATGCAATGTGATCTGGAAAACTTGGTCAAAATAAATACATGCATACTCTAAGAGTCAACATTTTTTGTTCCTAGAAAAATTTAGTTATTTGTAGTGGACATACAGTGGAAATAAAAAACACTGAGTTATTTGTGGTGGAAACAAGTTGTAGGTGGCCGACTACCCATTGTTAGGAAAGCACATAGGTAAATTATGATAGATGGACACCATAGAGTAATGTTACTCAATGTGTGGTCCCTGGACCAGCACCCCAGGTCCTGGACTCTCTGTCTCCACTCAATGATGTAATAAGAATTGAAAGTGAGAGTAAGCATCTAAAACTATTACAGAATTTTGACAATGCTGATAATTTTTTATTGCTATATGCAACAATATTGATCCATGACATATTACAAATTTTACAAAGAAAATGGTCCTTTACCATAGATAACTTGATAAACACTTCCATAAAAGACTCTACTTGGGCATGAGTCCATGATAATAGAGGGAGCAGAATTAGTAAGGAGACAGAAAGAGTAAGGTGAGAATACAGAAAAAAATTAAAGCAAAATCATATAGAAATTTATGGGTAAATCAAGATTTTCATGCATAATAATTTATGTAAAATGGGATTTATGAATTAAAATGTATACAGCATAAAAGAAAGCTTAATTTTTAAAAGTATGTTTTCATATGTCCCCTAATTAATAGATTTAAGAAATATATTGAACAAAAGCTTAAATTCTTAGTATAATTAAAGAGTCAGTTTTCACTCTCATAACAAAGAAACTGATCCATGGCAATTTTCACAAAACATAGATCTAAATTATCTAAAGTCAGATGTCAAGTTATAGACTTTAAATGTGAGTCAAGGGGCGCCTGGGTGGCGCAGTCGGTTAAGCGTCCGACTTCAACCAGGTCACGATCTCGCGGTCCGTGAGTTCGAGCCCCGCGTCAGGCTCTGGGCTGATGGCTCGGAGCCTGGAGCCTGTTTCCGATTCTGTGTCTCCCTCTCTCTCTGCCCCTCCCCCATTCATGCTCTGTCTCTCTCTGTCCCAAAAATAAATAAACGTTGAAAAAAAAAAAAATTAAATGTGAGTCAATTGTCTCATAGAAAATATCCTCTGACTCCATTGTGAAACCAAATATTATACCATTGCCAATTCCAAAATTAGTTAAAGGACCACAAGGTCTTAGCTTTCTCTGCTCTTCTTTCTTTACACCTTTCCAGCTGATACTTAATCTTTGCTAGCCATGGAACAAAACAATGGCACTGAAATAAGTGAGTTCATTCTCCTGGGATTTGCTGGTCAATGCAAGTCGTGGCATATTCTCTTCATAGTATTTCTAGTGATCTACGTGGCCATCCTAGTGGGCAATATTGGAATGATCCTACTCATCAAGATTGATTCTTGCCTTCATACCCCGATGTATTTTTTCCTCCAACACTTGGCATTTGTTGATCTCTGCTACACCTCTGCTATCACTCCCAAAATGCTGCAAAACTTTGTACAAACAGAGCAATCCATCTCATTCATAGGGTGTATGGTGCAATTACTAGTCTATGGTGCTTTTGCAACGATTGACTGTTACATCTTGGCTGCAATGGCAGTGGACCGGTATGTCGCCATCTGCAATCCACTCCGCTATCCAATAGTCATGTCCCAGAGAGTCTGCATTCAACTCCTATTTGGCTCATACTTCATAGGTTTTCTAAATGCCTCTGTAAACACAAGTTTTACTTTTTCACTGAACTTTTGCAAATCCAATAAAATTAACCACTTTTTCTGTGATGAACCCCCAATTTTGGCTCTCTCTTGTTCCAACATTGACTTCAACATCATGCTGCTAACTGTCTTTGTGGGGTTTAACCTAATGTTCACTGTGCTGGTTGTCATCTTTTCCTACATATGTATCCTGGCTGCCATCCTGAAGATATCTTCCATTGCAGGGAAGAAAAAAGCCTTCTCCACGTGTGCCTCCCACCTGACAGCAGTCACTGTTTTCTATGGGACTCTGTCTTACATGTATCTGCACCATGGGACCAATGAGTCTCAAGAGCAAGAAAAAATGGCTTCTGTGTTTTATGGCATTATGATCCCCATGTTAAACCCCTTCATCTACAGCCTGAGAAACCAAGATGTGAAGGAAGCCCTAAAAGTGGTTACAAAGAAGTGCTTCTGGTTTGATCATTGATTTCTGATTTTTTACACTTGTAAACAAGACTGACAGTGCCAGTTTTTAAGAAATCAAAACCAAACTTCCAAGCAACATAAGAAAATTTGCTCAATCTTTCTAATACTGAGCTGCAAATTAAAGTTTAACAGTGAGATAACCAGTTTAAAGTAACTGGCAAAACTGAAAAAGAATCATAACACTTACTAATTGCTGTGATGCAAGGGCAATCATGCTCTCATTCATTGTGAATGGAAAATTGAAGTGTTACTTCACCCTAGGAAGTATCTGGCAATATCTTTTTTTATGTTTTTAAATTTATTTTTGAGAGAGAGAGAGAGAGAGAGACAGAGTGCAGGTGGGGGAAGGACAGAGAGAGAGGGACACATAGAATCCAAAGCAGGCTCCAGCTCCAAGCTGTCGGCACAGACCCTGATTTGGGGGGTGGGGGGGGGCAGCGGGGTTCAAACTCACAGACCATGAGATCATGACCTGAGCTGAAGTTGGACGCTTAACCAACTGAGCCACTCAGGCACCCCGGCAGTATCTTTTTTAAACAAACAAAGAAACATCTTCAATTCAGAATTTCAGACGTGTAAACTGATCTATGGAAATAGAAATTCCAGTCTATAAGGTCATATATTTAATAGATATTAAATTGCAGCATTGTTTAGGAAGATAAGACCAAGAAAGTGAATATTGTTCAGTAGGGAAATAAATTCGTATTTGTTATGATTCCAAAATCTGTATCTGTTGCTACATAGCAAGTTTCTACAAATTTAAGGGCTTAAAACACAATTATTATTTTATGCTTTTATGGGTCAGGAATGTGGACACTGCTTAAATACATCCTCTGAGATGCTACAATCAAGGTGTCAACCAGGACTGAGAACTGAGGCTCAACTGGGGATCCAGTTTCCAAACCCCCTAATGTAATAGGCAGGACTCATCTCCTTGCAGTTGTAAGACTGAGATTCCTGCCTTCCTACTGGCCACCAGCCAGAGGTTTCACCCAGCTCTTAAAGGCTATCCACAGTCTTTTCTGTGTGGCCCTCTCCATAACCCCTCTCATAACATGGCAGTTTACTTTTCAAAGCAGGGAAGCCATACGGTTGATCGGTATATATACCATGTGAAACAAAACACACCTCTATGCCCAAATCATACTGCCATTTCAAGACTCAGTCTCTCCTTGAAGTTTTCCCAGCCTAGCTTTTGTTTCTTGCCAACTTTCTACCCCTTGGGGGTAATTCTTTCTTCCACTGAGTACCTACAGCACTTTATTTATTATTTATCACTTCCTATATAAATTACTTACTTATAAGACTCTCACTACCATTTATACCATTGTCTTTCTATGACCTTTTAACATCTGGTATAGAGCCCTAGACACAGTAGGTATTCTATAAATATTGAATGAATAACGTGATAAAATACAATAATACTGACAGCTTTCTAACTGTAAGTTCTGTGAGTATGTAGCCTACACTAGTGGTCTTTAAAAACCAATCTGTGGGCAGCAGTATTCAAATGACCAGGAAAAGTTTTTAAAGTGCAAATAATCATTGCTTAGTCCTGGAGGTATTGATTCAGTAACATTAGCCAGAGGCCGATAACTATAAATATCTATACATGCAGAGTGTTTCTTTAGTTGCATGGTCCACTGGAAAGCAGTATTTAAGAGCACAAGATTTTAAATAGTTTACTATGTAGTTGATGTCGCAACCCTGTCACTTGCCAATACTGTCCTTTACAAATTATTTCATCTTTCAAACCTTGTTTCCCATAACAATACATATCTCAAGAGATTTTTTTTTTTTTGCTTGCTTGTTTGTTAGTAATAGGTAAGCTAAAGAATAGAAATCATAGTACCTGGCACTAAGGTGTGGCAGTCTTTATAAAAATACCCTCATTTCTCTCTCTCTCTCTCAGTAAAAAGTCTCCCAAAACAAAACCAAACAAAAAGTCTCCCAGGGTTTGCAACATGAAATCTTTCCCCTCTGGGAAACTCCTCTCTTTCAGCAGAAAACTAACCAATGAAGACTGTTTTCTTGGATCCTGTCTCAGCATCTAGAGGCACAGACACTCGAGGGAACAGACACTTACTCCCATACCTCAACTATACACTCTTTTTGTGGAGAAAGCACTTGGTTAAACATAAGCCTGCACTAGCTGGGGGAGGGGTGGGGGGTGGAAATCTAAAGACAAATCCCCTGTAAATAAATCAAATTGAATTTTTCCTGTTCAGCTGTGCATTATTTTGACAGGGGGGAACCACAATAAAATCTATAGGGTTAGAGCCAATGTGCCAATATAATTAACTCCAAGGGTGGGTACAGTCATCTTATCTTCAGCAAAGTAAAAATGTAAATGGAGAGAGGAAATTATCAATCATATTGAGAAATTATGAAACGGTGAGAGAGATGACAGCTAACATATTAGCCATGATGTCCCCAGCTGAACTGAACAACTTTTACAGAATATAAGCAATAATAAGACAAGGCCACTCCACGAGTGAGATGAATTCAGACAGAGAAAAGGCCAGTCTTGCAACGATGTCTGAAAAGTGACAGGAGCAAGAACTCAAATATTCCCCTTTCCAACGAAAAGGAGTAAACATCCCTTCCCTAACCACTTTAATGTCTCTCTTTCTGGTATAAATTACTAAAGTGTCTAATCATCAAATTCCTGGTAACACTCAAAACAGAACTTGCGTCCACTTCCTAAATCCTTCTTCGAATCACCCAGCGCAGGTCTAAATCCTTCAAAAGTCCTTCCCAGTTTCCTCTTATCCAACACGCGGGGCGCTCTGAGATGCGACGTGGTTTTCCTCACTGCAGCAGGTGAAGGAGGCCCGTCTACATCTGGGTTCCTGGTGTTGGTTGGCTATTGTGTGTTGACGGTGAGAACTGTGCCACGTGCATCTATTACCTCTCTTGAATTTGGCTTCTCTTTGTTACTCATTTTCTTACCGCAAAAGAAACTAATATGTGCCCATGATCTTTTAAAATATAGCTGGTCTTAAAGTTATTTTTATTCCTCAGCTTTCTTAAGTTTGCCATATATTTTTCCAGATGGAGTTTTCCTCACATAAGCACGCGCGCGCACAAACACACACACACACACACACACACACACACGCATAAACACACACAGATTTTTAATTAAAAAACACTTCACATACTATATACATTTTTCTGCAAAATGCTTTACTTACCTAACAGTACGTTATTAACAGTTTTTCTAAAAAATACACAGAGATATACCCCATTATTTTGGGGTGTTTCATGGAACCATAAACTATAGATTCACTCTCACTTATTTTAGCATCACCCTACCTACTGCTTATATTTTGGCATAAAAAAAAAAAAACAGTACTTCGTAGAATCCCCTGGATTTCTGGGTTTAAAGTCAATTTTTTCCATCTCCTTCTATCAAAGATAAAACGGAAGTTGAGAGAAATTACAGTTGCTGTCCAAGATCACATACCTACTGGATGCTAGATTCAAGATGCAAATCTCGATCTTTCCGACTACAAAGTCTATCTACGTTTCATGGCAGGTGATATAAAATAAAACCTCAAGGTAGCTTGGATATGATATAGTTTGGACAACTCCAAAATGCTTGTATTATTCATCCAGTTAAAAGCCCCTTCCAGAACTTCTACTTCTTCCCAAGATGGAGTAACAGGGATTGGATTTACCCTCCTACCTGAAACATGAAAAAGTGAACAAAATATATAAACTAATGGTTTGCAAGACACTTGCATCAGGCTATAAAAGACAATGACTCTTGAGAAGCAGCAAACAAATGAGCTGTAAAATTTCCCAGACTTTTGCCTTAAGAAAGTTTCCAGACCACAGTGCAAAAAGGTTAGTAGACTTTCTAAAGGAATGGAGCTGAAAATCTGGACAGACCAAGGAAACCAGGGTTTGCAGGACAAGACACTGAAGAAAAGGAGTTGCACAGACAGAAAACCCTAGATGTGCAAAGGGCCCCTCAAATATTTAGCTGAAAGCTGGTCAGTACACTTTCTTCCTCTATGCATTTTTTTCTCTCAGTAAAAATATGTAATATCTGTATCTAAAACTATAGAAATCTACAATGACCTTTTTGTCGATTTTTCTCTTTTCTAGTAGGTGACACAGGCAGGGATCAAAATAACTTTTAAAAGCATATTGCAGAATTCATTCCTTCATTTCATCCATTCCCTGCCTTGTTCCCAGGAAAAGTTTAAAGTATATTATGGACTCTCTAAACACAAATTTTAATTTTTATTCAAGAAAGTTTAACACACTATAACACAAAGCCATTTTGTCAGATGTCATTCTGCAAAGGTGATTTTAATGTTGAAATGCCCATTTAATAAGTGAACATAAGCTTAATATTTTAGGCAAATTATTCTGCAAAACTTCATCACAGATGATCAGAGATTGAGGTAACTTCAGTGAACACCAGCACCGTAATCCAATGATGTATAAAAGAATAGAAGGTGAGGAATGTACCTCCTTGATCCTTGTGAGTTCTCATATTTTCTGGCAGATGTGAGCATAAAGAGAAGCAGAGAAATTGGTAGAAAAAATGAGACCTTTGCCCTAAGAATTGTAAAAGGGAACCTGGAGAAAATCAAACACTGGGAATAAGTCTCCTGGAAAATCATTTCATGGAAGAATGGAATTACAACAGCATCATTCCATGGACAAAAGCCATGGATGTTCTTCTTTTATGTAAGACAGTTTATTAAAAGCCTGGAGACAGAATCAGACTTATTATTAACTAAAATTAGTATAGGCTTTCTACATGTCCACATATAGAAAATACATTATCTCGTTAGCTTTAACAAAATAATCCTCATTTCAGATTATGAAAAACATGTAATCCCTATTTTCACATTATGTAACTCAGAGCAGTTGAACAATCTGTTCAAACCACATAACTAAATGGTGAAACCAGGGTTTTAATTTAATCCCAGAGACTGCACTCTTGACTAATTAGATAGATAAATGATTGATTGATAGAGA